ACTGTAAGCGCGATGCTTTGAGACGCCGTGCCTTCCATATCATGTAAAAAAAAAATCTTTGCGCATTAAAAAAAAAAAAAAAAAAAGAGGGTGTGGTTTTACATATATGCTGAGAATCGGTAGTTGCCTTGGAGCAAAAATGTCTCTTTGAAAGCCAGAGTCGTAGCTTGTGTATCAAAAATACGATGACAGAAATCGGGAAGGAAAAAAATAAAATAAAAAAAAAACTTTCACGAAAGTTGTGTACATTTCCCTGTATTCGGGGGTTCCCTGAAGTCTGTTTTTCTAGCGATGGAAGCGTAACATGACCAGTGTTCGTTTCTTCGGGTGAGGCGAGAATGGTAGAACTTCAAGATATACTTACTATAAAGGACTCTAATGAAAGGATCGCTTCAATCGCGCGATGAGACGTTGACACTGGTGGGATCGTTTTCAATATTTGACGAAAAGCGGTGAATACCAGGGGTATAATGGTTTGGAATAACGATGTAGTACCTGCTTCTCCAGCCTGGTTTGGTGCAGAGGTACGCGAATCGGAAGGCGCGCGTAAAATAATGTCTTTGATGTTTAAAAAAAAAAAAAATAGTTTTCGTGCTTCTTTGAGTGCGGCTGTTGTAGCAGTCGCTACGGCTCCAGGATCATCATTTTCGTTCTCCAGGTTCTTAAGAGTAGGGTACTCTGAGCCTTCAGTGACGGCACACTATTGATGGTGATTCTGGACGCTGGTTTGCCACCTTCAGCAGTTTCCTTGTTTGCCTGATGCTTAGCGTGCATGGCATATTGTGCCTTGCGAAAAGTGGTGTTGTGTTCTAGCCGATACCTTGTAACTTCAGTGTCTCTTACCTTGACTGGGCACTCGGCTGAGTTGGAAGCGTGCTGTCCTTGACAGTTAACGCAGCTGGGATTGGCTTCACAGTTGCTTTCGTGACGCAGTCCACATTGATAACATAATTGAGACTCTGCTGTGCACGCAGCTGCATTATGGCCGAACTTGTAACATTCGTAGCACTGCAAGGGGCGTGCTCGGTAGGGATTCAACTCAGTCCTTGCAAGCACCACTTTGACGTGTTGAGGAGCTACTTTCCCTGTGAAGGCGACTCGCAATACTGGTGAATTCTTCCCAAGTCGCTTCACCTCTTCTACGCCAAAGGAGAACTGCAGATGTGTTTTAATGTCGTCTTCTGTGCAGTCAGGGTCAATGACTCGCAGAATGCCAAAACAGTGTGTGAGCACTAACTCGGCAGAAAGGCTCTGGCCGGTACTGTGCAGAGATTAGACAGCTTGAGAAGCTCTGCTTTAAAGAAAGGTCGCTTCACATCAACTGCGACAATGTTTCGAGTTTTGTTAATCCGGACCACACTCACCATGCCTGGCCCAACGTTGTTCAGGTAGTCTGTAAGCTTGAGTTTGCTGAGCGACTTAACCTTGTGGTTCTCAGTCGGGATGTATAATACAGTGCATCCAACTTGTCGGTTGCCTTCACCCTTGAGAGATGAAGCATGACACCGTGGGTCCGTCTTACGCCTCTTTTTTCCCTGAGCAGTCTCGAATTCATCGTCGTCGGGCAGCATGTCGTCGTCATCGCAGGCAGACACGATCGTAGCGGAAGTGCAAGTCATTGCATCTGTGTTTGGTACTTTGGGCGGAATTTCATAGGCGTCTTTAAAAGACGTCCCCGAATCTGTTATATCTTGCAGGGAGGCGAGCATCAGTTGGTCTGTTGATTCAGTGTTCATTTTTGCAGGAAGCTTGGCCTCTCTGAAGGGGGCCCTTCTCGAAGAAAGGTCCGATACTTTTCTGCTGTTACGTAATCGGGAGATACGAAGTGCGGGCCCGCTATTTAGCAAAAATGTGGTTATATCTAAGGATACACAGATAGAATTACCAGACGCAGTGTCGTCGTCGTCGTCTTCCGTCTTCGCAAGCGCGAGCATGCTGCACTGAACTACTCTTCCAGAGAACCCATTCAAAGCGTGCAGCTCACTCTTATAGCTTTTGGTACGCTCAAAGCTTTTAAAACACAATTATATTCAATTTTATTCTTTCATTTATTTTTATTAAATGCGCCAATGTTTCTTTTTATTATTTTCCGTTTACGTGCCATTTTCTTAGTTATATAATATTTTTCCAGAAGTCCGTCAACTATAGTCTGTTTCATCATAAGTAAGAACGGCATAATCAAAGATATAGACAAAAAAAAAAAAAAGAAAAGAACGGGAACACGCGAACCCACATTAAAATGCAATGTAACGATGCATTCAAAATGAGTCGTTGGTTTTTTTAGAGTGAAGGATTTTCGTAGGGCGATATTGTGTCCCGTTTTAGATTATAAAAATGTACAGTACAACTGTTCGCTCGGGGTCTTCAACGTGCATCACGAGCGAGCCCGCGGTCGCAACCGCTTTGCGAACGCGGATCCGCTTCCAGTGTGAATGAGCGGTTAGTCCCTGCAGGTTCTGCAGCGTGAGCTCCCTGCTTTGAACGGAGCTCGCAATCGCGCGTTTCTCCACGTGCTCTGATCTGCGGTGCCACAACACACACGGCCGACGATCCCCCACCGCACTTGGCTTATCCTGTGAGCTAAACCAAACGAGCCTTGCTTAGAGTATCGGCACCCTTTTCCCCAATATTGTTGTAGGCGCCACTATCTTGGTGGTTAGTACAAATCAAACGCAACTGCCGATCGTCATGATTTAAAAGTGTGACTTCCTCAGCATTAGTTTTGATGTTAGGAAGCTCACGTAATATTGCTTTACTTTGTCGCGAATTATTTATACATTTGTGGAGGACGGAAAAGCGTTTCCTGTGATTTCAGATAAAACTTCAAATAACGGACAACCATCATTTTAAGCACCAAAATGTGTATGAAGCGTAGCTTATTTAGTGGCTCTAGGTTAGCCCGACCGCACAGGCTCACAAAAGAAAGCGAACTGCTTGACCTCGCGCTCTTGGTGCTGCTTCAGTGGCTTCATCAGCCCGAAGCGTAGGCTGCGTTCCAAACTAAGGTAAGGCAAAGTCAATATTTAGATCTTAAAATTTTACATGCCATACCTCAACAAAAAAAAAAAAAGAACTTAACACGCTTCAATAAAAAAAAATTGCGGGTTTATTTTGATCAATTGGAGATCTTTTGACGTGGAACCGCCAATTCAGATTGGCCTCCGTCAGATTGCGGGCACCTCGGCCGATATTTAAACACGACAAATACGAATTCATAAACCAGCGCTTTGGCTCCGAGAGACAGACGTTTTAATGTTTTGTGTTTTGTTTCAATATCATAGTCGAACCATTCCGACAAGCACAATTTGATTGCAAAAATGATTTTTGGAAGGGATGAAAACATTAAAATGCTTTCGCATGCGTGGCGAAATTCCAAATGGCGGACAATTTTTCATGGTGCTCATTTCATTTGGATCGCATCAGGCATGAGTACCGACCTTCCATCGTGGTACCTAGAGCCACTATATGAGCTACGCTTCAAGTATCGGCACTCCGTTGCCCGACATTGTTGTGGACGCCGCCCTTTTGGTGCTTGTGCAGAGCAGACGGAACTGCCGATCATTATGATTCAGACGTGCTCCTTCCTCAGCAGTAGATTCGGTGATTGGAAGCTCATGCAATATTGCCTTTATCTGTTGCGAACTGTTTAAACATTTATGGAGGACGGAAAAGCCTTCCTGTAATTTCAGATCAACTTTCAGATAACCGGCTACCATGATTTAAGCCACAAAAATGGGCGAGTGTCGTTGCTCTGAAGCGTGGCTTATTTAGTGGCACCAGTGGTACCGACGCACAGTAGAACGCGCGGAAAAGCAGGTGTGGTGCACCCGCAGCTTCGTGCTTTTTCTTCTGACATCTCTGGCTCGCTCGCTGCGGGCATCCATGCATTTGATACCCTGACATCTGGCACTTTTTCGTCTTTGACGTGGCGTTCCAAACGGCACACGACGGAAAATTCACATCACGCTATTCTTGAACACGTGTCGCCATATGTATTTTATATTAAGAAACTGCAATTCGCCGTAACTGAATGGGAAAAGTATGAGGTCTGTTAACATTCTTAAAGTGTAATATATCTATATGGAAGTTCCAAAAAATGTAATATCGAAGGATACTTAATAATTTAATGTGTCGTAATATTGATTTGTTCACGTGGTTCCGTTTTTATAGCACCATAAAATGATACCATTTTGAACTTTATTTTTAATCTTAAAATATAAATTACCTGCTCGGTTCATTGCTTGCTTTTCTTACTTTATTATATCCAACCGAACGCTCACGTAAAATATTGTGGACAATGGGACGTTATAACTCGAGAAATATTTGTTTCAATATTAGAGGCTGTGGTTTATTAAATGCTGAATATTTAACTAAAATCTAAACCTAATCGTAATATCGAGACATTAAAGTATTACAGTTCTTTAATTTGACATTAATTTTATAATTATAGAACACATAGAAAGAAAGTTATAAACCGTCAAATATCCCCAAAACGTCATGCATGGTGGGGTCGCACCTTAAAGATACAGATTTTTTCAAGATTTTTTGCATCGCAGGAATACTGTATATTTAATTTTCTTAACAAAACAACGTTTCTCCGGTCCTTTAGCGAGACGAAAGATTCACCAGTATGGGAATATCAGATTATCGTGAATATAATATTTTTTCATTGAATTCAATTTCTGCAATATAAGCAAATAAGTGCTATCTAATTATGACGTAATTTAATTACAGGAAACAATTTTTTTTTCCTTAGGGTGTTTTTTGTTTGCCAGAAAAGATCGAATAATACTGGTAATGCGTAGCGCGTTTCTAGGTCATGTAATTATACTCGTATCATTTAATTATACTCATATCCAAAATCGACTGGAACCTTGTAAAATAAAAATTACGCGATACTTATTGCATCTTCCGAATATATTACTTCGGTATAGTGAGAAACGCAAAATTTACTTAGATCACGTAACACAGTACAAGTGAGAAAAGCGAAGGACACGTACCAGAGGTTTCTAGGTGGTCGCAATGGGGATAAAATGCGTCTTCTCGGAGAATTATTTCCTGAAGAATTATTCCGAAGCTGTAAACATCTCCTTTCTGGGTCCCCGTTGGTGAACAATGCTTTAAACGCAGAAGTTCGGGAGCTTTCCACAAGTACTCTTAAAAAGACAACAACAACAACAACAATATTTTTGTTTACCTTTGCATTTTTGTTTGTTGTTTCAATGAAAGAAGTAATGTAAGATAATGCCTCAATACGGACAAAAGTATGTATAGCACAGCTCTAGACATAAATTAAAGCTTCTAGAAATCTCTTCGTGCTTGAAATTACTTATCAAGAAAGCTGGTTTGAACGGCCGACGAAAACTTACCAATGATAATAATTGTCCCCCCCCCCCCCCCCATTTATGCAGCAATAAATAACCAGAGTAGGCCCTGATAGTTTAAGGTGTCTAATAATAAAACGGTTTACTCTCCTTCCAGGATATTAATACGGATTGTAACTCCGAAATATGTACAGGTGGCGAAGGCCAGTAGAGGCCTTTATTGGAATTGTTTGCTAGACCGTAATAGCAATATCCTATGGCCAGAGACAGAACCAAATTCAGAGAGTGGCCTATTATGTTGGCGCTCTATGATTCGTTTGCCGGAGTTCTTATCGGTTGACCTTGCAATTTCATGAGTTGCTTAGCAATACAACTGGGCCAAGAACTTGCCCTAACTTGCTTTTTTGAAGCTGCCCCTGACGAGTCACTCTGCGTGAATAAGACACCAAGGCACGGTTCAGCCTTAATGGCACACGTTTTAACTGTCTGGATAGATCACGCCTGACAGAAAACGCACTTGCGTCCTGAGCTTACTGCTTCATTGAGCTTACTTTGAGAACCTTCGATGACGTAGGGGACGTATGTCTCGTCTTTTCTAAAAGTAGGTAGTCCAAAATCTGTAAGTTTGAGGACGAAGTGGCTGTCCACTACACAGTTCGAGCTCCGTAGACGGCCATGCGAGCCTATTTCGGTTCCATGCAGGTACGTCATTCCCTGAAATAACGACAGAAATATTAAGCGAAAGGTAACGTTCCTTAAGGTTATTGATGGCATACTAGGTTTGAGAAGATGAGGTACCCTGCTGCAATGCAGCAACAGCCTCAACGTCTGACACAGCATACTATCTTTCTCATATCGCTACTCTATACAGCGATATAACAAAATTAGAAATTTTATGACGCGATTGGGCATGCTTGAAATTCTAGTTAACAACAGGGTTTACAACACAGTGCAAAGAAAAAAAATGCTAATTTTTAGTACGCTTATGGCCTTAATGCTGCAGTGTCTGACCTATAAACTGTCGTTTTAGCTATTGTTTGACTAAAAGGCTTGCCCTACCATTAGATATTTAATCACAAGAAGAAAAGATCGACACCTTGCTTCCAATTGAGCAATCTAATATACCGATATTGCTTCGCTTTGGGTAGTTACGACGTGTCTGAAAACATGGCCAGTTCGAACGCGTTTCTAAAACTATTTCTCAAAAGAGAAGATAAAATTATAGTTTATATGAAGGAATCTGTGAAAGCTGTTTTGCAGAAGTGGAAACGCCATTATTACCTTCACAATGTCGTTGATGAGTGAGTAACGAAATAACCATTCCAACCGGAGCGAATCGTTATGTAGCACATCCTGGAGGAAATGAAGACGAAGAAAAAAAGAAAAACAAAAGAAAATAATACAACGATTCGTTGCCATCACAGCATTAAATGTAATCTTGTAACTTTCAGTCCTCATTGTAGCTTGTACCTGAAGGCTTCCTTTGGGGCAGTACTCCGTGAGTATTGCGATGTTAGGCACATCTATGCAGGCACCGACGAACCTGGCAATATTTTCATGCTGGGTTTCCCGCATCTGAGTGCAGTGAATCACATTAAGCAAGCAACAAGAGACAGTTAAATTAAATTGAGAACTACATTGAGAAATACCTGTTGGCTAAGTAATATTCTTCAAAAGAAGTGGAGAAAACGCACAAACTAGTAATTTATGAAACACGCTGTCCTGCTCAATGCAAAATATAATAAGCAATCAAGTATTGACTTTTATGTAACCTATGCAGTGATATAACAATGTAACACGAGGCAAGCTCAGCAGATTGGTTTCAAAATGCTTAGTTTTGACTAATTTTTGTTTCTTGTAAAATCGCAGACACATTCGGTAAATGGAAGAAACGCGAAAACTACCTACTTGAGCGAGCCAGTTTAGTGCTTTGAACTAAGGATACATTCTGGCTCATTTTGTGAATAGTTTTATAGTTTTAAAAATTTCGTAAATAAGAATAAACAACAATAAACTTTCTGGAATGCAGAGCATCATAATATCATATTGATATTAGCTATTGTATAAAATACTGCATAAAATAATTTTATTGCTTGAATATTGCTTGATATCATGTTTGCTATAGTGAATGAAACCATCTATCTAATTTGACGAAATGTAGGTGGGCGTATAATTACCTGCTTGAGCTCGATCAGAACATTTCTTGTAAGCTCAATCCTTTTCTGATGATGCAACCTCTTCACAGACACAATCGTGCCCTGAAAGCAAGCAAGATTGTAGCGGCATCACTGATTAACTGCATCCCCATGATGCCTATAAAGCATTCAGCTAGTTAAACCCTTAAGCATTTAGAGAAGGAAAGAACGAATGCAACACCGACCTTGAAGGCTCCAGTCAGACTAAACTGCTGTTCATTGGCCTTACTTCCTGCTTCCAGAAAAGCACTCTGCAAATAAACTTAATGTTCAGTCTTTTCTGCAATAGTTTCATCCTGAGAAAATGGGCAGTCGTTGCATGCCAGTGATCAAATGTGCATTCTAAAATCTTGCCCATAAAAAGCACCATGCACGTGTATATACAAAAGGAAAAACGTTTATTTGATTTAGGTTATATGCCGGGAAATGGTTAGTTGGAAGTGTTACGCCAAAACAAATCACGAATCACATCGGGGGCTCGCTGCTCCTTTCTGACTGGAAGACGTTGCGTAACTTCAAAACAGTGCACTTCTGTTTTCTAATTATTTTGTTTAGTTTTAATAACCTAGTCTCACTGGGAAGAGTGGAAGAGTGGTACAGCCGTTAAAGATACACTTTCTTGTAAAAGGTTGTGCTAAGACACTCAGTGATATTTATTTTTAATTATATCCTAGTCTGCGGTGACCGGTATGATTCTTAGTTCATTTTGTTAACAACGATTGGGAGAGAACAAATAATTGAAGTTTTCTTTCTTGTATAATTCAAGTGCCGACAAAGTTTTCTTATAATGCCATGAGTGAGCGACATAAGCAAAATATGTCTCTTGTATACATTTCTCGTGATTTTGTAACGTTACCTATAGGGATATACGTTCTCGTAAGAAAATGTTAATTATTAGGGCCTATCTGTAAAACAAACACAGGACACTTGTGATATCACAATAAGAAAGCTGAGGATTAAATCAGACCGGCTGGGGATCTGATATGTAAAAGAAATCTCAACTACCGAGTCCATTGTAGCAATAAAATCAACTCTCCTATGTAGCTATAAGAATCATCACTTCTACGTCCGCGCAATTATGGGTCTACTTGCACACTAGTTTTAAGCGTTACAATAAAGCAAAAAAAGGAGGAACAAATAATCTTTAGCAAGTGCCGAAGGCGTCGTCCTGTGGGAATTGATACGAGCGCGGCGAGAAAGGCCGGTTATGCAATGTCAACCAACGTTACACAAGGCGGGTATCCCCCATAGGCGCCTTTTGATCCCGCTTATGAAAACATGACCCACAGATCTCGTTTGATACATAGTATTAGAGTCCTCTTAGAACGACTCACTTCGGATATTAAAATGTTTTGCTCCGGTGAATATTAACGTATGTACAGCGCAGATTATGATTTTCGTAATGATAAATAATCAAGATATTCAATATTCAAGACGCTAAGCGAAATCACAGCGTCTCTCTAGCCTTCCAAAATCGGTCAGTAATCATCAACCTTGGCAACATTATGTCAGCCGTTCGGTAAATGAGCATTAAATATATTAGTAGAGCCTATATCTTCTGGCACACTTCAATCGATATGTGTCGTGCGGAGAAAGGTATACCTACGTCCCGGAGATCTGGAGTCCAATGTACCCAACCTTTCTCCATCCTTGAGGACATCTTTTTGTGAACAATGGGTGAAATGAACGTTTGTATACGCCTCGCAATTGGGCTCATTTTCGTCTTCTGCGCATGAGAAAGGAAGTAGCGGTGACGTCAGAACGCCGAGCCCTGATTGGCTGATCGCGACCCCCTATCTCAGCGTCGTCTGCTCCTTTGCAACGTCGTCTGCTCGCAACATCGTTTGCGTCTGTCTCACCTTTCCTGCGACTTTCAGAAGTGCAGGTCTTTACATGAGAGCTCGACTTCGCCTTTCACAGAGGGCAGACGGAATAACTCGAGCGGTACGTTGTTTTTGTCTAACAACTAGCAGACGCACATCAAGGAGGGAATTCAGAGGACTCACTGGCGAGGTGTCCCGAGGCGCCGAGGTTTGTTTACTAAGAACCGGGAGGTGAGCGTGCAAGTTCCCTCCCAAATACTTTGTCCCTCCTTTCGTGTGCGGCGATACCCCCCATTCTTTAACAGCGTCAGCGGGTTGGCGCAGTTGACGTCGTCTGCTCTACGTTTGCTAGTCAAAGCGATGGCTGCTTTACCTTTCCTGCGTCTGTCGGAAATTCACCGCTTTTTCACCGGCGAGAGTCACCGTTGCCTCGGGAAACAAGGGGATAACAAGAGGAAGAAATTGACCTCTTAATCCAAAAGTGAGGTCAGCGATCAAAGTATAATACGGGAAGGGTTCACAAGGGTCGCGCGGGAATATTCCATTCAGCACGCCAGCCGGTCGTGGGCAGACGGTCGCCGAGTCCGGGAGTGCCTGCTAGGCCTAACTGCCGTGCTCGCTTGGTCGCGTTCGGTGGAATCATGGCCGTTGGAGCTTTTCCCGGGTGTTTGTGGATCCAGCGTTCTTGTTCGTCGTGGTCTGTTTCAAGTACTTTTTACTTTTTTCTTGCTGCTTCAAGTCGGGACGCGTGAGAAGCGCACATAGAAAAATAAACGTCCGTGGGTCGTCGCGACCGCGACGCTGTCGGCCATGCTGATTGTAAGAAGTGCGTACGACAGCTTCAAAGCTGTCCTAGGATTTCGTCGTAGCCTGCGCAAAACTTGCGAAAATTTCGTTTCGTGAATACAAATTTGTTCTTAAGTTATGGCCTACGCATATTTTTGGTGTAAGATCGTTTCCTGCGACTTACGAAAGTCGCAGGAAAGGTAACACAGACGCAGACGACGTTGCGAGCAGACGACGTTGCAAAGGAGCAGACGACGCTCAGATAGGGGGGCGCGATCAGCCAATCAGGGCTCGGCGTTCTGACGTCACCGCTACCCCCTGCGCAAGAAGCAGGCGAACTTGCCCTCCGCATAGGTGTGGTGCCTGAAACGCGTCTGCAACTGATGTGTTTACCGCGTCAAAAAAAAAGTGGTCCCTCAATTTCTGCCTGATGACGTCATAGAAGTTTCATGCTGTCGCCGGTCGCGATCCTAGCTGTGTCCCAGCAGCATTGGTGGATGATGCAGACGCCTGTTCTGCTGCAGGTCGCTCTCAAGTGTGGCAGCCCACAGAAGCTTAGGCAGCCAGAAGCTGGGACGCCGCGACAACAACGACACTCGCGTTCGCTCGTGCTTTTCGTTAACATTTCTACGACACGCTGCAGGATCGCGACATCTGACAAAAGGACATTCCGGCTTCCGTGACGTCATTTGTTGCCACTAACGGACCACTTTTGATGTATGTGAGAGATAGGACGCTAAACGAACCAGTTGGAGACGTCCTCCAGGCACCATAGTATAGGTTCACATGTCATAGTTACTTTGCATCATGGTCATAGCTACACTTTTATTTACTGCTCTACACATTTGAAACAGCGCAATGTAATCTGCTATTCTTAGGTTTCTGAAGGAACCACAATAGCAAACAGTACCCCCCCCCCCCCCCCCCTTCCAACAAAAAAAGTTATGACTTTTGACAAGATGCAGAAATAAAAAGCTAACAACTAAGGGCAGTAACAAATTACAAAGAAAGCCACCTACTGCAAGGTTTTAGTAATTTTTTTTGTACAAAGGCTCCAGTAAAGGAATTCATCTGCTGTGTTTGTATATCTATTGTTTATTGTTAATTTATTTTCAATAGTTCATTAAAACATATTTTTTACTTTACTTTTAAAATGAACAATAGCGTATATTGCAAGTACGATTTTTTATACTTTCATTGTTTGACCATACATACAAACCCAAGCAAAAAAGAAAATACCAGCTAATGTGATAATTTCTGGAGACATGTTATGGCGTAGTTTAGGAAATTGCCTTCGTATTTTTTAGTTAACTTTTGAACTACCTACGTAACCACCATTCATCACCTTCAAAACAAGGTAACTGAGCAAGCACAAAAGAATGTCAAAAGGGGACAGGTTAAATAATTTGTCTAATTTCGCAAATTTATTTAAGGATACTCACCGCGCTTGTTATGGAAAGTCGGCTCATCATCCAACTGCTTCGTTGGTTCCGTGTGAAGGTGATTTCTTCCCACTTGATGCGCCAGGACATATTTGCTATGGCGCTCTCTAATTGCATCTTTCTTCAAAAGAAATTCGCAATCAGTTTGTAAGCATAAGAAAAAAGGAAATATTTCGGTATCAGAGACGAGTTTCGGGCACTGTATTTATTTATAGTATTAAGACGGTACCTTGGTTGGCAAGATATTTCAAGATCATGAACTAGGTAAGTGGCATATCATATTTGTTACCAGTGCATCGACACAGGTTTCTAATCCAGCACAGAGTACTTTACGTTGTTCATTACATTTAAAGTAAAAAAAAAACATCCAAGAAACATTTTTGTTACAAAATGTGGCCGACTTCATTGGGCTCAAATGTATTAAAATACGATGCGCGTAGGTTAGCAAATCCTTTAATTAATGTAGCTTTAATTCGAGAAAAGTAAACCATTATGATTATGCGATGTCTTAGCTACTATTAATTTTTGGTATCTCCATTAAAATTTAATCGAAACATAAAACAACATATTGTTGAAAAATTAACTGCTGACGATTACTATAAACTATGGAATGGCTTGTGGTTCAATAAACGAGGAGCGAATAAATGAACTACGTTAATAATCTCCTTACTGCAAAACTGACAGGGCGATTGAAGCTTACATGCTCAATGGACCAGTCAATCGTCGGTTGACTTTTCCACCGAGCACGCAGAAAAGGGGGGGGGGGGGGGGTGCGGCGAAGAAGAGCACAAGGTTTATTGGTCGTGCGATCAAACTTCTCAGCGAACTATGTGAACTAAGATCACGAGGCTTATCACATGAGCATATTGCGGGGGTGTTTTAGATAAGAATCACCAAACAAAGTTGACAGTTTTCGAGACAAAAGAGGCTATATTCTAAGCACATGTTCAAACACGCCCATGCACGCACTGCATTGAGTTCGCCCCTTCATCGCCACAATATTTATATGAAACCGGATAAAATTTGGACCTTTGAATTTCAAACATATATATGTTTTTTAGTAAATTAAAGATTATAAACTACTGTCACCTGTAAACGAGAAATGCGCAGATCAAGATGACGACAATGAAGACCAAGACCGATATGACGATGGTTTCTATGAAGGGAAAGTCATCTGTGGACGGAAAGGAAAAAAAAGAATCTTATAAATATATGTGAAGTTCAGGATACAAAGCTTCTTTAGTTGGCCCAAGTGGACTACTCACCAGTCTTCAAACATTTCGGGTCTTTGCCGTCAAAACCGCAGAAGGGAACGTCCACTGGTGGTCCCTTTCCTGGCCAGTGGATATCGTTGACCAACTGATAGCTTTGATTTGCCCCAAAATATTTTAAGACTACCTATTCAAAGAAACACGTAACATAGCTTATTGCATGTGTCGAAACTCTCGATGGGTCAAAAATTGGATTATGAAAACAGTATTTCAAAAACCGCTATCTGAATCAGCAGAGCTGCTTAACTATTTAGCAGCTGAAGATTTAAGAAAGAAAACAAGTTGACGCGGTGGATGCTAATCTACCTGCAGATACTTAAAGTGAAACCAACAGAGAATTGAGTTCATTCATAATTCAGACCTTTTGTTATTATTGAATACCGAACATAATTATATTTACACCGTACACATATTTACTTCCAGAGTACACAGGCCGTAGAGCGATCCCAGTTACAATAAATTTTTACAGCTTGCAGAATATTTAATCTTCTCCTTAAGCCTCAGAACCCGAGATTGTTATACTTTGTTTAGTTAGTGTGCTACTAGAAGCTAGTACTACTTAATATTTTTGTAATGCCAATCCAAATTACCAGAATATGTTGCGGTCCCAATGCTACGAAGAACTAGACCACCACCGTCTTAACTTATCCTGTATTCTTTTCACGAGTACCTTGTTGCGGCCAGGAGCCCAAGCGAACGCCAGAGCAGGGTGGCTCCAGTGAGTGTGGGCGCAACTGCTAGATCGTAGATCACGCGAATTGGAAGCCATTTAATTGATAAATTTTGCTGGAAGTCTACGCCAACGTTGGTCTACGAGGCAAAGGGTCGCTTTATTTCCTAACTCAGGTCATAGCGCCCATTAACTTACTTGAATAATTTACGCAAGTTAAAAATTGTTACTTTTTTTATAGCCCCCAGTTTTGTTCCGATAGGTTAAGTATTTAGTTAACGTTAAAAACGGTAAATTTCGCCGTCGTGGACGTTGCTGCTTGTCTGGCTACCCTGCTTTCCCCTCTCGACGTTTGCAATTCCCGGAGCAAGAGAGAAGGGAGAAAGGCTACTCCAAGGCGTTCGTTGGTTGCTTGCAATAGGAGAAGAGAGGAGGAAAGGCACATGGGGCAACATATTTGCAACAAAGCGGGCGTCTGCTCTCGCACAAGCAACTTTAGCGCATATCCTTTCCCAATCCTCTCCTTTAGGCGCCGCCATTAAATTGCAAACGCTCTCCAGGATTTGAGTTGCGCCCACTTCCACTAGAGCCTCCCTACGCCAGGGCGTGCCTATGGTGGTGCCATCCCGGGAGTGTTTAGGGAAGCGCCTTGGTTCCATGCGCTCCTCCTAGATGTCGCCTCTTGTTCACGTCTAGAATGGTTGTCGCGGCCAATATTTTTTCTTAATTTTCTTCTTTTTTTCTCCCCAAAGGTTTATAGCCACACCGGTTCAGAAATGCATTGCAGGGCTTGGGGTCGGCTTGGGTTATTATGTTAGCCCTTCTTGCTTCGTGATTCGTTCGTTGGCGCTCTTACCGGCTAAGGCTGCAGATTTTTGTGATGCCATTCAGAGTTATTTTTCTTAGATGTGCATACTTTTTCTGTATACATATCTTGCATGTTAGTATTTTGCACGTCCCTCTCTTGTATTGTATTTATTGGTATGTGCCTCGAATATGTATATCGACGTGCTTTATTTTTGGTTTCAAAAGTGCTTATTTGTATTTTACTTCTTGTTCTTTCCACTCCCGTTTGGGCCAGTATTTGACCTACAGTATGTTCTAAAAAAAGTAATGCCGCAATTTCATTGTCGGAAACCTCCGCTCCCTGCGTTTTTTTTTTTTTTTTTAGGGCTCTTAGTGATTTTAGGTTTTATTAATGCTCATATTTGGAACAACCTTTACTTGGCAGTGCAGACAGTGCTAGCTACACTCACGTGTCACAAGATTTATCTGACACAAGTGCGAAATCTACGAAACAGAAATATTTCACCATACAACAAGATGTCACGAATAACCATGGCACATACAGCTTTTATTGGTTTGAGGAGCCAGCTCGTGTTTTTACTTTTGAATAGCACTTTCCGGCCTCAGTGACAGTGTTAAAGCCCTCAATATCAGCGGAAAGCTTAACTTGACTTTATGTTTTGATCTGTTTTGTATCTACGCGGACAAAAAATCGCAGAAATAAATTTTGCAAAGAAAATATGTTACGAGATTTTAGTGAAATCATAAATACCTAAATATGAACTCTTGAGGTCTACCTGCACCTGCACTTGCATTAAAGCACGTTCTGCTGCCGTGCAAAACGCTCGTAGCCTTTTTTTAGTTTATATAGATTTAGATAGAGTGAAGTTTTAGCAAATTTCCCATTAAACATTTTGTTTTCTTCTGGCAATAAACTTCACACATTTTGAAGAATGAGCACTTCAGGATATGCCCATCTCAGATTGCAATGTGAAAAGTCATAACACGAACAACTTGCAAAGGAAGGCGCGGAAAGAGGGTTGCTATATGAGCGGTAAATCAATAGTTGAGAAGAAAAGGAAACAACCTAACACCGTAGAAGGCGACAGGTAAGCGCTAATGTTGGTCCTAATTTTAGCCATTGTGTAACACATTTTTTTTTTTTATAAAATAACGATTCATCTTTTTTTCTTTTTCCAAGGGAGTCGAGTGACTCACGGTCTCAGAATGAAAATGCTATTATATGAACTTCCGTGGAAAATACGCGTCAATTTACTATGGTATGAAGCAATGATTTCACTTGAATTTGAGTCGGGAAAATAAATTCGAACGATGACACCGAGCCCAAGAATGTTTACCTTTGGAAGCTCACAAAACAGGAGGAAGTGCTAAGCACACTCTTGAAACAGTTTGGGTTGTTACTCTATGTTGGTTCATGTTTGGTGTTATTGTGAAGTTATTTCTCGCTTCTGTGTCTCGTTACGTCTAGGACATGCCTTCTGCTCCATAAAACTGACGCAGTTTTATCGTTTATCATTTTCCTCTGCATCCAAAATTGATGTCGTTCCTGCGAAGTGTGAGCGCTGCCATAAAACTATCATTACGATTAGTCATGAGCGCTTGACGCACGCGCTTGCAGACGTAAGCAGCTCGGTAAGGGAGTGTTACTCACGTCAAAATGTCCCGTCTGCGGATCTACCTGGTCGAGAAGAGCGTAGTCTGCAATTCTGTCGCCGTTGTTGTCGATGACCACCCTCCCTGATACACCTGATATGTGGAGTGGAGAAAAAGGCTGGATCAATGACCAGCATTTGTGGTTGGAATTGTTTCCTTGGTCGGTTCTCCAAACATGATACCGAAACTCTGTGGTCATGCTTGTTGCGTTTGTCATTTTGTGTCAAGGCTGCATCAATATGAAACACCCATTTGCAAAACACAACCACGAGATTGTACCATTTTTATAAATAAATATAAAATAGAAATACAGTAAAATGTATTGCAATAAATGTCACTTCATTTATGCTGCGAAATTTTATTACAGAGTTAACAATAACACTTAGTCATATAAAGAAGATATGTGTTTAAAGGTACATTTTTTATATTTCTAACAAGGAGCATCATTTTAATACTGATTATAAGAAAATAAATTCCTACGGTACTCGAACATACGCCGAATCTTCTACATCTGCTCCTAATGTTTCTTTTTTTTTTTGAAAAAAGAGCACCTATTTTATTAACTAGTTGACGCGATTGAAGCCTAGCAACTTTTTTGTGTCTTGTGGTTGCCAGAAGATCGATAATTCCTGCCCATAGAAAGAAAAAGTGGAAAACGATCTATTTCCGGACGTCGCAAAAACAGGGGAATCGCATTAGAAAGACAATTGCGACAATGACTGACATTAATCACTTATCCACATGAGCCTAAAAAAAAGTTTATAAATTTCTAGTTGCACCAGAGCCCATGGGCTGGCTTCGAATCTTTAAGAGCCGGGTCGAACCAAATACTGGATTTGTAGTGTTGAAAAATCTAGTGAAGGAAAGAAAACTGTGACATAGAAATGATTAATGTACAAGATTAATGATCTGCGCCACTTGAAAGTTACGGTTGGCATAATGCGACAGTTACTCGTACGTTTTGCGAAAAGGTTGATTAGCTGCCCTGGAAGAGAAGCGTAAAATACTGTACTGAGTTCAGAAGACACCGTCTCTCCAAATTCTTTCCTTCTTTGTAAGGTAAAATAGGCGCAATAAATGGTATGCCTTATCGAACATTCTTTGTTTTTTTTCCCTACTTGTCTCATTCCATCGAGGTGCGCGGTCACTCGGTGGAAAGATATCGAGGAAGTGAACACACTACTTTGTCGACTTCAAAGGCGCGCAGAAGACAAATCGCAATGCAATTTTTGAAGCGCTGGTATGAAGCCACCGAGCCATCCTGTACCAACCTCAGACAGTTACCAATTACCGGTTGACACACTATGGCGACATTAACATTGACGCGTAATATGTTGAGCGTATCTCAATAATAATGTGCTGATGCCGACTCAAAAGAGAATTGTGCAACTGTTATTGACCCTTGCGAATATCACATGTTTTAATTATACGCTCCGATTCGTCAAAACTATTCCCTTCAGAACATTATCTGATGAAGAGTGCCGTGAACGAAGGCGTCTGGCGCCTTGAAAACTCAGAGTATAACTAAACGTTTGTGATGCAAGAACGATTCACGTACGGAACACAATTTCCTATGAATTTTCCATAATCTGGTTTCAATTTTCAAGGCCCATATGAGAGGGGTTATGAAAAAAAATCATTTGCCCGATCTTAATTCTTTTTATCCATTAAACACAAAGACCTTGATTCCTAAGTATTACGGAAAAACATTGCAGCTGCATTTTATAAACTGTCTTCAAAAATTGTGTTTTTAACACTAGGTTTGTCTGTGTTGGACACCAGGACACACTAAGCTGACCTGGTCTGCATACCAGGCCACACTAGTCTGTTGTGGAGTGTACATCAAAACATAGCAAGCTTGTCGATTGTCACATCAAAACACACTATCTGGTGTGGTGTGCACACCAAAACAAACTAAACTGCCCTGATGTGCAAGTTATGACACATTATCTAGTGTGATCTGCACACAGTACACTCCAAGCTGGTGTAGTGTGCACACCAGAACATACTAGTCGACCTCTTGGGCATACCAGAAAACAGTGGTCTGGTGTGATGTGCACACCAAAATATCCTAGTCGGCTTTTGGGCATACTAGGACACAGTGGTCTGGAGTGGTGTGAACATAAGGGCATATGTGAAAGTCTGTTGTGTACACCAGGAAACACCTTAACAGACCAAAGCGGTCTGGGGGAGTTTTGGCGAGTAATATTGATTGAGAAAAGGCCTACAACAGCTGGGCCCTGTAAAACCGAGCTTCGTCAAAATTAAGGAGGAAAAGTGAACTAAATGAGTAGCAGATTAGTTTAAAGAGTTAGGGGGATATCCAAGCGTCTGGTGATAACAGTAATATTAAGCACTCAACCAATTCCTTAACAAAAATTTCCTCGCTTCAGGTCTATATTGGTGATGATGACAATCTAGACATTCAAGTCGTTTCTTCGCACTCTAAAATCTGAGGCCCCTAACACGAATGAACGAATTGTTTCAAGGTAGTTAAATTTTAAGCGGGTACTCTGGGTCTCATGTTGCAGGAATGCTTGTAGATCTTGTCGATTTTAGGTGAGTCACAAGCTCTACTAATAACCGAAATCTAAGAGAAAAACCTTGTCTCGCTGAGGGCCTGCTTTCTTTTGGAGATCTTTGTGTCTGATGCATCACCTACCTGATATATTGGCGTTCCGCATCCTGTTTACCAGGTTGACACCAGCGTAGGGGTCCAACCCCACGGTCACAGTTTCATTGATCGCTTTGCAGAGCATGACCACAGCGTCGTGAAAGCTTGCTGTGAAGTAGTTCACCTATTGACACGCAGAAACAGGACTGTTAATAAAAAGGCATCCAGGGCTGGCGTATACGTACCGCTGAAAAATATATAACCTTGCAGCGCCTGGGACGTTTATCGATACGAAAAGAAAGCATATGCATATTGGGTTCTAATTTTTCTGATACCTATGGCAGGAATGGTTGCGTTAGAGATGGGAGAGCAAATTAGTCCAATTTGTGCATCACCATGGACGAGGACTAAAGTTAAGATATTTACGTCTTTAGTAATTGAAGAGGTGATTTCGCTTACACTTTAACTTGAATATAGAGTTTATTAAACAGGCTAATACCAATGTCAAATGACGCCTTAAGATTACTTTTCATTCAATAATCATTTCCCTAGAGAATATTCGGCTACAAAAGCTGTTGTTACACGGCTGACAAAATGTCAGCTACCACTGATGTTTACTCCATTGGGGCTGGTCACTAGTAGTAAAACAAACTAAAATATGATGCCAGAATTTTTGTCACCATTTCAAACATTGTAAGTTAGTAATGCGTGTTTCTACAAACAACTATAAAATGTATATATTTCAGAAGCAAACATTCTCGAAGACTGAAAAAAACGTGAGCGCGCGGCAATCTGTTGAATACTTCTCTTTACTAAACCTAAGACACGGAAGGAGGCAGAACGAACGTATAGAAAGGGCGCACAAAATTTCAAACACAATTAAGACAACAACGAAAACCTTTTCTAGGGATGAGTCCTTCTATAACGAAAACCTTTTATGCGTATCTTAAAAGCCCGTTCAGATGTCAGTTCGTCAAAGTTTAAACGACGAGGGGACAAATGCGACGCGCCACTTCCCCTGCACTGACATTGGTACCTATTGTCGAGAGTACTCCTTTTGTGCGTAAAGAGAGTTAGTGTGCTCCTGTCTATATATAAAGAGAAAAAGCCATTTTATGTTAAAGCAGAGCTAAAGCGTGGTGTGCAACGACCTCCTTTTCTTTTTGGGTGAAGGTCCGAACTTTACAGGAGTATTACCCTCTACAAATCCGACAAGAGTATTGGCCTTCACAAATCAAGCTGCACCAGGGTCACTGCGTAGGCGCTATACTCGCCTCGTTTTCCGAAAAGAATTTAGCGTTTAGACACTCACCACTTGCTCCATGTCACCTGTGAACGAGTATTTCTTTCGCGAACGACGTTTCACCTCGTTGGAGAAGCGTAGGTACTCTTCAGATACCGGCTGGTTGAGGCTGATTATTAAAAGGGATTCGAAGGCCTTGCGGAGCCGCTCTCGCCGTCTTGCATCATCTACCGAGTGGAATTACGAACAGTGTAAATTATAGAAGAAAGCGAATTTGTAATAGCAAACTAATCAGGGAGGACAAATAAACTCGCGGTAGCAAAAATTACGTAGAGATAAGTTAAGCTTGCACACAAGAGGAATTTTGACTCTGTATATGATACAATACTAATTGATGACCAAGGCTTCGACCCCGTAGAAGCTGTCCCTAAGCGGAACGTTGTAGTCCTGCGTGAGGCGTCCTGAAGTGATATTTTCGAGACGTTGCTTATACAAAATGAAGCACCGTAGTAGTGAACTCTTTTAGAATACCTGCCAAATGCTGGATCAATTTGACGACACATAGGACCCTAAATTAGTTTACGATTGCACACAATATGTGTTTATACGTTCTAGAAATCAAACAAATTCCAAATGACCCGCTTCTTGATCCTATCGCAATAAATTCTCATAATCAGAATATAAAGGTTGGAGGAGAGCCTAAATTCTGGACTCAGTGTGCAAATACTACTTAAAACAATAGAAGAGCTCACCGACGCCGGTTGACCAGGATATGTTTCCCGCTGCTTCGCTTTGAAAAAGCTCGGAATAGAGGAATGCGTACTCCCCTGAAGAGGTCATGCCGAGATCTTGTGCATGCTCGAGCATGGTGCGCACTTCTTTCTCGCCGGACAGGAGAACCACAACTAAAAAAACAAAACAAAAAAAAACAAAAAAAAACACTCTTGTGAATTTCACTTTGCCCGTTAGGAAACTTACGGTTATAACACTTTTCTTGGGTCAATTATTAAATAATGCAAAAACATGTTATAAAAGAAGAGTAATTTAATAAGTGAGGCAGTTGTTCAATAGTTACCGCAACTTCGAGAATAAATTGCTAATACACATTTTACAGGGTTATATTAGGCTGAGAACCTTCCTCCTGAATGTATAGAATTTTGTTTTTTGAGATGTGGTATAGACATTGCTTCTATATGATAAACGAGATCACTTCTAGGGACAGTTCGACGGTCTTATTGGCTGACGAGGCTTACTTTACGAGATTTTACTGCACGATGAAGTGAATTCACTAAATAGTTATTCATATATTTATTTATTTACGTGAGGGATTTCGCGACTCTCGACACAGCGTCGTAGTATGAGTTGTGTACAAACTTGAAGAAAAAAATATGTGGAAATCGGTCAAAAATGCAGAATTAAATGCGCGAGTAAAGTGAGACTAGAATTTTCAGTTAAAATCTAGTATTTAATTGCACGAGGAACGACGGGATTTTTAGAAAAATTGTGAATAAATTCTTATTGTAGCCGCACACGTTTATCCCCTGCAGCGGGTAAAGACGTGCGCGGCTGCTGTGCTTTCCCACTATCCGGACAGCGCTTTATCTTCTATTCGTGCGCGTTTTCTCGCAGTTTTCACTGCGAATGCGTAAGTGTTCTCAAGGCCCTTATCTACCTCCTCGAGAAGAACGGCGCAAGAATATTTAAGTGAGCGTCATGCACTAACGCCGGGACCCAGAAAAATCGCCTGTGACTTTGGCAACTCAAGACTCCGGCGCGGGACCAGGGACGCCGTCCTCGACCTTGAGTGTCGATGGTCCGGAGCGACAAGTGCCGCCGGTTGACTGCGGCCTTCATGGGGTGGTGCTGGCGCTCTGTCACATGATTGACGGTCTATCGGACTTCGTGCTGACTCTGCGACGTGAGAAAGAATCCCTGCTAGTGCACCAAGCGCGGAACACCGACTTGGTACGTAGATGCCTCGACGCCGTCGCCGGGCCTCTGTGCGCCAAAGCACACCTGTACCTACGTTCACCGCAGCACAGGATACTGGTGTTTCCGTTCTTCCGGTGCCCAAGGACTGGCCACCCAACAACGAGGCCTCCGGACATCCGCCCGGAGGGTGGTCTCACCGACCCCTGTCATACGCTCCAGTGGCAAGAGCCCCTCCGATCGACGGACGGTACCAATGATTACCAAGTGGGAAAATCAGGTTAAATGCTGCCACCGAGGGTAGCTCCCCGTATCAGCACGCCAATGGCCACGCCCAGAGTCGCCAATCGGTTCAAATCGCGGCAGTAAGTTGCGCGCGGTGCGACAGCCCCCAGTGCGTAGAGTAGTGTTCGTGTCGCGCTCGCATCCGTCGGCTTCCTTTGACGACGTGTCTGCTAGTGTCCTCGCAGTGGTTGGTGATAAAAATTTTGTTTGCATGAAGTTGCCGTCACTGTACAACACGCGCTCATCGTTCCAGAGGTCCGTGGAAAGTCCAGAGCTTGAAGAATTGCTTGTGGCCGACATTTGGCCGGAAAGTAAACTTTTCAGACCATATCTTGGTCCACTCTGAAGGGTCAATGTTGCCCTTGTCGAAGCGAACCCTGACCTGCAGACTCCTCAGACCCTTTAGGTTCGTGAGCCTTAATGCCGCAAGTATCGTAAACAAGACAGCCGAGATTGAATACGTGCTTCGGAGTTTCACCTGGACGTCTTTATAATTACGGAGACGTGGCTAAACAGTGACATAGCCAACTCTGTGGTATTTCCTATTGGTTAATTATTTTTCCATCGGGATCGCCCCTACAGAGGTGGTGGCGCCGCAGGTCTAGTAAGGAGTTCCCTCTCCTGCGTGCCCGTTCCACACACGGGCGACCATAAAACATGAAGGAGTTTTCGTAGATCGTTTTCGTCGTCCCGCAATGCCCTCCGCAACCCGCTACAATACTCGGAACCCTACAATCAAGGCCATCGGCGCGCAAACACATTAGCGGCTTCTTCGTTGCGGAGGGCTTAGCGGAGGGCGAAACGCGGTCTACAAAAACTCCTTACTATCGGTTAAAATACGGACCGGCCGTGAGTCTTTCCTTACCGGGGCAATGCACAGGCGCCACCACGCGGATATATTCACCTTATTGAGGGCATTCTCGACGTCCTCAAAACGTATTCTAAGAATTCTTAATTTATGTTATTGATGGGTGACTTCAACTTGCCCCATCTGATTGGAACAGCATGACGCCATTAACTAGTCGCGATGTTTTCAACGTTCGTATTGACATGGCATCCTGCTACAACTTCCGGCAAATTGTTAATATCGCTACACTTATCACCCCTGAATGCAGGTCACTAATAAATATATATTTCGTTTCGGAGTCACTGGCACAGCTCGGCGCACTAGCGAGAGTTATAGAGGAAGTATCGTTTCCCAGACTTGTGGTGTGTGACCTTCCTCGAATTTCCCGCGTAACGGCTTGACGACCAACTGTGCAGTGCAGGGATTGCAATACGCTAAATATACTGATATCTACAATAGGGCTAAATACACCGATATTATAGATTACATAGAGGGAACTTTCGACTATTTCTCCCAAGTACAAAAACAAAACAACGTCTGGCCGGACACACCGTGACCTTCTTCCGGGAAGTCATCCTCCCGTGCTTCTATTGCTTCGCTCCACTACGCTCCAAGAAAGTAAGAAGTAAAAATTCATAGATAACGCGTAAAACCAAGCGTCTGAAACGCAAGATTAATCAGGTAAGAGAAAATCACGGTAACGTAGGCGCCTACATTTATTTATCTATTTATTTCATAATACCTTGTAGGCCCCATTATAGGGCATTACACAAGGGATTGGAAACTAAAAGTTTCAATATAGTAACAGTATAACAAACTCGTCAGCAGCGACACAAGAAATGGGAAACTGAGCATTTCAGTATAGAACATAGTATACAAACCCGTGAACAAAAATGCAAATAAACACAAAAAAGGAATAAAAAAATGAAGGACACGTTATTAACATGCCAAGACTCAGCATTGTTTGCACAGGGATCTAAATGTTCACCTAGTACCTTTTTAAATACGTCTACATTGTTAGTTGTAACTATGTTATCAGGTAAAGCATCTCATTCTAATATTGTTAAAGGGCGAAAAGAGTTGGCGTAGGAGGTGGTGGAGGCAAATATAGGTTCTATCTTACAGCTGTTGTCTAGTCTTGGAAAAATCTCAAAGGGACGTGGGAGTAAAATCTTTCTAAGCGTAGGGCTGAGGTGGTAGACCTTGTATAACTGCGTCAATCCAGATATCTTCCGTCTTAAAGCGAGCTCAGGAAGATTCGCTCGCTTTTGCAAACTAGAAACACTAGTGCAAAAAGATTAATCAGAAAAATAACTCTCAAACCTCTGTTTTGCACACTTTCTAGTTCTCGTTTAAGGTAGTTTTGCCACGGGGACCATACGGATGCAGAGCACTCTTGCTTTGAGCGGACTGAATTTAGGTACGCGACCTGTTTCACTTTAGGGGGGGGGGGGGGCGAGTCTTAAGTTCCTTCATAGAAAACCCAGTGTGCTATTTGCCTTAGCGATTATGTTTTTAATATGACTGGCCCATGTTAAATCGCTTGTTATATGAAGACCAAGATATTTTTAGAATGAAGCGCTACTGAGTACTGTGTCGTTAATATTGTAGGTATAAGAAGATAGTGACAAAATTTGAGAAAAGGTTAGCACTTTGCATTCAAGTACAAAAATTTCATATAGGGAAGAAGAGTGGTTGTTTGGGCGAGTTGGTTTGACATCTTATACAATCTTGTGCGCAACAAAGACGAGGACAAAAGCAGAGAAGAGGACACAACAAGGCGGAATTTTCAACTGAATTTTATTGAAAACGTGTTCCGGTATATATAGTCTCAACCATCGTCACAGTGACATTGGTTGTGATTATGACGATGGTTGAGACTATATATACCGGAACACGTTTTCAATAAAATTCAGTTGAAAATTCCGCCTTGTCTTAAAATTCAAAGTTGCGCACAAGATTGTATAAGATTTCATATAGGACCCTCGTATATTTCATATATGGCCATATACGATAATATTAGGAGTCAAATATGGCCATATACCGCCATATATTGGAGCAAATACGGCCATTAAAGTGGGGCAAAAACTGCCCTATATGGTCACAGAAGTGTATAAATATGCCATATATCGCCATATACGCGTGCAAATACGGCCACATATCGCTATATAAAACTTCAAATACTGCCATATATAGTGACATATAGCGGTCATGACATATAGCGGTTAAAGATATATCACCTGGTAATGACGTTAGGGCCCATTTCGGTCGTGCATGCAAAACGTTATATGTACTCGCGAAGACACTAGTTGATTTATCTAATATTGCATGAGTCTCATGTAATTGGTTAACTATTGTTAACATCCTTAAAGTGAATTTATTCCAGATATTTGGACCAATTAATCAAATGCCCATTTTGAAGATTGAAAGACAAATGAAATTTGGTTGTATGCTTGACGTGGAACAATATGACGAAGTGCATAAGATCGGAAAGCGATTTAATCAAAATATGGATTTTAGATCGCAGCTCTTAGGCGCGCGTTTCCGCGTTAAGCGGTGTCGGCGTCGCCTTTCGCATCAGTGTAACCGCCCCGCTAAATTTAGCGGGAAATTTAATTGGTGCTCATGTCACGTGATGTCAATTTTCCCGCTAAATCTAGCAGTGAAACAAAATTTGTTCATCCGTTAAGCAAGCGGACTGAACCGTTAGCTTACTGAAGATGCAAGACATTACTTCGTCGTCCTGATTCTTTTTTCCTTCGAACGGCTGCGAAGCCGTCGCGCCCGGAGTGCTTTACGCAGCATCTTTCAAAAATCGTTCGCGCAGCATAGCAACCTTTCGTT